TACAAATACGACACGTTTAACCTGCTTAATATCATAAATAGTTTAAGTGGGTCGTGTTGATCATATACAACACTTGTAACCCGCTTAATATCATAAATAAGTTAAGCATATGTGTTGATCTATATACGACCCACTTACTTTGCTTATAGTATTTTTAACTTTTAATATATTTAACTCCAATCATATTTAAAAATAAATTTTCACACCTAAAATACATAAATTCTTCAAGATTTATAAATATTTAACTCCAATCATATTTAAAAATAAATTTTCACACCTAAAATACATAAATTCTTCAAGATTTATAATTAAAATTAAAATATAATACAACAATAAAATTTAAATAGGTTTTTGTTGGAGTATTTATATCTAACACTAAAATTACCTATTTACTCTTAAATAAACAGGTCACTCATTTAACCTGCGTGTCAACCTGCAGCACAACACATTTATATTCGTATCATAAATGAGCGAGGAAACTAACTCTTAAACTAATTTTCTAACTACTGGTGACACGTGGAAAAGTTTGTTGTGGAGTCCAACTGACTTCGGTGCTTTTCTTCAATTTGTTAGGCTCCTTGCTGTATTTTGGCGGTAATATTCAATTTGGCATGTAAATATATTTTTTTATGTTTCGCTTTTCGAAGCATTATAATTTAAAATTTAATTATTTAGAATGATTCCCTAATTATATTGAAATAAGAAATTAAGTTTTTTTTTTATTTTATGTTTATGATTTATTATAAATGATGGTTTATTTATTCGAAATATTAATGTATTATACTTATGTAGTGTGTCCTAAGCGTGTGGATCTCCTACTTTTTTAAAAATTAGTATCGCATACATTTTCGTGTCGCGTGATGAAGCATTTTTTTTAATTTATTTGTATATTTTTTTATTAATGAATAATCAAAAAAAATATGAAGGGACTAAATTTTTTTCGGAAAAACTTTTGTTACTTATTTTTTTTGAATATAAAAGAAAAATAAAACTAATTTTTCTCTATAAATTAATTTTATAGTTTTTTATTTTCCTTCTAATTTGAAGAGAAAATTATCAGAATTCTTTTCCCTAATATTCATTTCTTATTTTCAAATAAAATAGTTTTTGCTTATTAATATTAATTTAGTTTTTTTTCCTCCTATTTGATATTATCTGAAAATATAATTGTTTTTTTCCCTTATAATCCAAACGATGTGCAGGGTAATATTAAAAGATGAAATAATATTTAGTAACATCATTCAAAAATAGTAAAATTATATAATAAAAAGATAAATTGTATCTTATTGAGATATGCTAAAAAGTTGCTATGCTAATATATATCTCCTTAAGTATCATGCGAAGCTTTTCATAAGATATGCAATAGTAAAAATTATGCATGGTATGACCTACATAAAAAAATGCATACACACTATTAATATATTTTTCAATATTGAGCACATACACACTATTAATATATTTTTCAATATGATAAAATTATTGCAGCAATTTAACAAATTTGAAATAAAAATTACAGCTATTTTTCTATTCTTAGGTGTCCATGATTTATTCATAACATGATTATTTATTTATTTGAAATATTAATGTATTAATATTATTACTATAGTTGTATCCTAAGTATATGGATGTGCATACTTTTTTAACAAATTATCATATCCGTACGTTCCGCGTATCATCGTATCTCTGTCTGTGCAATCCAGTTTCCTGGCTATCATGCAGACCCACTCCCTACACCAAAGCTAATCAACCAAGTTTTATTTTTTTCATTACCAATAAAAATTAAAGTTTTCTTTTAATTTGTTTTTGTGTCTATTGAAATAAGAAATTAAGATATCTTTTTTGATTTTTTTCGTTTATGATTTATTATAAATGATGGTTTATTTATTTGCAAATATTAATATATTATTTATTTTAGTCGTAGTATGTCTTTACAGCGACGTGAAGTTTCCTATCTTTTTAAAAAATTATCGTATCACGTACCCTCGTTGTCCCGTTTTCTGCACACTCAGCTCCATTATATGTCGAGACTACCTCTATACACAAAAAACGCTAATCAAACTAGGGTTTTTTTTATTAGCAATAAACAAATAATAATATTTTTAAAAAAAAATATTTTTTTGTCATTTAAAATAAGAAATTAATTTTTTATTTTATGTTTAATTAATTATTATAAATTGTTGTTTACTTATTTGAAATTAATTAAACTATATTCACTGTAATTTAGTGTCAATATGTACTAAGTGTGTGGGATGTCCCTACTTTTTAAAAATTATTTACTATCCCGCTATGGTTTCAATTTATATTTTTTAAATTGTTTATATATTATTTATTAATAGTAATATCATTACTTATATTCACACTCTTTTTAATCGTGTCGTGGAACTACTTATAATTATCTTTGTAAAGACAGAATAAATCTATATAATAACTTATAAATTAAATGCCTAGAGATTAATCTTTTTTATATATATATCTTGCATAGAAGCGATTATCTGAAAATGATCCTAAAACAAACTGATCTTTTTTACAATTCTTACAATTTGTGTTAAATTCGTGTGAATTTCTAACATCCATCATTTCTCACCAACTCAATCCAATAATTGCTCACAGTGGACACAACTGTGCCTACTTACAACTTGGCTTTCCAGATACAAGCAAACTACCATGCTTTTATATCATTATCATAAATAGGATATAGACTAGTATATAGATTTTTTCAATAGTGATAATAATTTTGAAATTTAACTAATTATAATTGAAATAAGAAAATAAGAAATTAAGTATTTTTTATTTTATGTTTATTATTTATTATAAATGATTGTTTATTTATTATCATATTCCGTTCGTTCTTGTATCTCGTGTCTTGTGTCTGTCTAGCTTCTGGCATATAAGACTACCTCATACGTCAAAGTAATCTAAGAAATTAAATATTTTTTATTTTATAGTTTGGTTATATATATTTTGATTTAATTTTGATTTAATTTTAATTTAAACCAATTATATTAAAATAAAAATTAAGTATGTTTATTTTATGTTTTTTATTTATTACAAATGATTGTTTATTTATTATCATATATCCCATATGTTCCGTATCTCGTGTCCTATGTCCGCGCAACCTAGCTCCTGGTATAAATTAAGTATTTCTTATTTTCTGGCTTGGGTTATTTGTTTTTTAATTAAATTTTAATCCAATATAATGCATTATCTTTATGGGATGTAACTAATAGATATTATTATGATAAATACATTATCTAAAAATATAAAATAACTTATCTCTTACAATTACTGTCATTACACATTATCTTCTTACAACTGTCACTTACACCATTATCGATGTAACTAATAGATATTATTATGATAAATACATTATCTAAAAATATAAAATAACTTATCTCTTACAATTACTGTCATTACACATTATCTTCTTACAACCGTGCTAAATAATAATAATTATTGTCCTTCTCATACTTGGCAATTTCAGAGGCTTACACTTAACTTTCATATAATGCAAATCGCTCTGCTTATTTATATATAGATTGTATCTCGTATATTCCTGTATCTCGTGTCCCATGTTTGTGCAACCTAACTCCTGGTATATGAAACTACTCCACATACCAAGTTAATCAACCAAGGTTTTTTCTTATTACCAATAAAAAATGAAATGTTTTTTCAAATTTTTTTTTTGCGTCATTGAAATAAGAAATTAAGTATATATTACTGTTGTTCTAATTGAGAGAGAGAAAACGTTAAGATATAATTGAGTGGAAAATGTTAAAATATAAAAAAATGAAAAATAAAAAAAAAATAAAAAGCTAGAAGTATATATTTCAATTGGTCCATACTGTAGTAAATGTAAAGATCTAGTTCGATTGATTTTGTACAAAATATTTGTGATGATTAATTGCCGGTCAAAATTGAATTGTTGGTCTCTATGGTTCCTATTTTTGGTTTTTAATTTTTAATAATTAATCAAACTTGTTTGTCCCTACTGTTTCTCTTTATACGTGGCAATTTTAAAGGTTTACACTTAACTTTCATATAATACTTTCCATATTTTTTAATTTTTAATAATTAATCAAACTTGTTTGTCCCTACTGTTTCTCTTTATACGTGGCAATTTTAAAGGTTTACACTTAACTTTCATATAATACAAACTGCTCTGCTTTTATATATTATATAGATTTATATATCTATAATTTTTTTAACTCTTATATTTGGCCCCCAAAAATATTGTAATAAATTTAAGTGTATGCCTTTCCATCTAATTCTAAATCTCGCGTTTGTCACTGCTAATAGTCTGGTTCTCTTTAAATGTTTTCATATGTATAAAAAAATTGAATAAAATTTAGGTTAGCAGATTTTATATTTGTCTATTTCAGGTATTAAGTTAATTATCATAATATTTTTATTTCTTTCAAAAACCTAATAAGCCAAAATAACAATTTGAACCTCTTAACTTATAAAATTGACTAAAACTCTTATGATTGAGAGGACTGAGAGTTAAGACCTCACATCCCTCGAATCAGTGAGAAGAAAATTAATTATGGTAACTCAATCATATAAGTTAAATATGTTATGTGCAGGATACTGTGTGGCCAAATGCACAAATATACCCTTGTACCATGCGGAAAAAACCTTGTAGCACTTCAAACTTTGCAAATGGCCTATTATGCTTCTGAAATTATGAATTCTGCTAATAATATAGCCTTTTCCATTCTAACAGTAACATTTTTTGGTGCTTTTGGCATCTATTTGCAAAATATTCACTTAATGTGTGATCGTATTTGGAAGAATAATTTTCAAAATTTTCAACTATCTAATAAGTGTTAATAGCTCTAATTTTTGAAGTTTGAAAATTCAATAGAATATTTTTTGCAAGTAGAAATATTTAATTGGTACAATTTTATAAATTAAAGTATTCAATAAATCAAAGTAAAAACTGAGAGTGCCATAAGATTTTTGATATAAAGTATAACTATGAATTTATGCATTGGCATGACAACACGTGGAATGACCTTTGTAAGCACTAAGCATTTGCCTAGTCATCTCAGCTTAAACTTTATTAAGACAAAAAAGAGTATACTGATTCAACTCTTTTTAAGTTTAACACAAGCTCGACCTGCTATAAATAGCACCTCTTGGGTTTTCATACTCTCCATCCCAAAGCCAGAATATCAGTAATTACAATTTCTTCATTATGGATGTTGTGACTTATGAAATGGAGGTTGCTGCTACAATCCCACCAACTAGGATATTCAAGTCCTTTGTACTTGAGGGTAACACCATCCTTCCCAAGGTCTTACCTCAGGCTATCAACAGTGTCGACGTTCTTGAAGGGAATGGCGGCCCTGGTACCATCAAACAAATTAATTTTGGAGAAGGTGATTAATTAGTCACAGTTAATACAATACTGTTATCTCACATTTGTTTGGGATAAGTTCTTTAGATATAGACGATCCTCCTTCCATTGAGTTAGCTTTTGGGAAGTGAGTTAGATCTGGTCTATTTTATAATATAGGATAAGAGCATGTCTGATTCATTCAATTTCAAAGGCAAAAAATGCAATTCAACTGAATGTCCAGTTCCACTTAAACCGGTCCTACTTTAGGAGGAGTAGGACATATACTAACCTTTTAGCTTTGGGTCCCATATGTCACTGTTATTTGTCTATAAACTTCACGCTCAGATTGGTTTGAGATAAAGTTTTTATTCAAAATATAAGATTTAGGCGATCATTCTCCCCTTAAGCAGAGTTAGACCCTGTCCATTTAATAATAAATATTTAATTGAAATGGTGTGTTGTTGTTTTTGTTTTTATTTATACATTGGAGTCTAATTAATAAAATTTTAAATGTAATAGAGTTATAAGTTTAAATCTCAATCAAAACTTAATTAATCAAAAAATTGCATCTTCAGGTAGCCAATTCAAGCATGTGAAGGAAAGAACAGATGCAATAGACAAGGAGAAGTTGACATATTCCTATACAACAATTGAATGTGATGCCTTAATGGGAAATTTTGAAAAAATCTGTAATGAGATTAAGTTTGAGGTGCCCCTAATGGGGATCCATTTGCAAGTCCATCAGCAAATACTACACTGTTGGTGATTTTGAGATCAAACAAGACGAAATTAAGGCTGGAAAAAAAAAGTCTATTGGATTGTTTAAGGCTATTGAAGCCTACCTCTTGGCAAATCCTGATGCCTAATTAATATTAATGTTTGTGTCTTAAGCCAATGCAGGTGGATTTCATGTTTCTTTTGTCAAAATTGTAATTTGATTAATAAAGAGTTCTCTAGGTGTGAGTTACAAGTGAATGCAATTTCCATGTATAAGGTTGTTACTTGGAATAAATTAAATTCAAATGTCTCACACTATGTTTGAAACAAATGAATCATGATTGTAGAATTCATTTGTAAATGAATTCTAAGTAGAATTCATTTATAAATGAATTTCTCATGTTTGGTATCTGATAAATTAGAATAAAGAATTTAATTGAATTCTACGAAATTATGTTTGGAATAAATTCTTAAATGAAGGATTTCTCATATGTATGGTATTCTGATAAATTAAGAATAATTTATAAATGAATTTCTCATGTTTGGTATCTGATAAATTAGAATAAAGAATTTAATTGAATTCTACGAAATTATGTTTGGAATAAATTCTTAAATGAAAATTCATTTGTTTTAATTTCTTATAATACCCTTGACATAATAATTTAATAAAAATAAATAACAAACACCAATTATATTTATTATATACAACATAATAACATATTATTTTTAATTATTTAATTAATTATATAATTATTAACATTCATCATAATAATTATTTTAATTGTTAAAAGTCCTATTAATTTAAGTATTTAATTTGAAAAGTATAAAAATATTTAAGAAGTTATTAGTTTTTTCAATTGCATTTGGAAACAATTATTGATAATCAATTTTTGTAGTTTCACAGTAATAACTAACGTTTTTACTAGATTAGCAAAAAAATTAATGTTATTACTAGATTAACAATTGTTAGTTAGTATCAGATTTTCAGAAAAAAAAAAAACGTTAGTAGGAATTTTCCAAAAAAAAAAAAAAAAAAAAAAAAAAAAAAACAGAAGAAAAAATGCGAAAAAAGGAGTAAAAAAAAAAAAAAAAAAAACAAAAATGGAAAAAAGGAGTAAAAGAAAAAAAATATCGTTAGTAGGAATTTTCCAAACAAAAGTAAACAAAAAGGAAAATAAAAAAGAGTAAAGAAAAAAAAAACCTCAGTAGGAATTTTCCCAAAAAAAAAAAAAAAAAAACAAAAAGGGAAAAGAAAGAGTAAAAACAATTGAGTTTATAATAGAGGGTAATTTTGTCAATAAAAAATTAATGGTTCAATTTTGTGGAATTCATTTAGAAATTCCACCAATTTTAATAGAATTTGAGTTAGGCATACTTAATTCCATAGAATTCAATTTCTAGAATTTAAATCTATATATTTTTTTTATTCCAAACACAAATATTGAATTTCCAAATGAATTCCACAAACGGGCTGTCAATCAAAAAAAGTTATTTGCTAATTAGTGTATGGCATGATAATTTCCGGTTTACTTTTAACTTAGTCATAATTAATAAAAGATAATTGTATTATGGAAAACATGAAGAATATATATATAATAGATTACATTTTCAACTAATAGTTGAGTGATTAACTATTAGTTGGTCCAGTAGGATGAGGTGCTGGATCCTTTAAGCGACATATGATGTTATGAATGGAAAAAATTGGATTAGGAGGGTCGCCTCTATAATAGACTTCTGCAAAATCCGAATTCGGATTAGTCAGCTGTGTAAGATACGCGGTGGTTTAAAAAAAAAAAAAAAAAAAAAAAAAAAAGAGGTAGTCAGAGTGACTAAAGCGGAGAAAGTACAGACCAAACTAATTGATTTTTCATAAACAATAAACTGAATCAAACCAAAATAATTTGGTCCAGTTCTCAGATAAGACGTGTGAGGATCAATTAAAGAAGAGTCATAAAAATGCTTAGTAGAATAACTGAGGTGATAAACGACATAGGTGTGTGTACCTTTTAACCAACTACTTCCTTATTCAAGCAACTACTTCCTTATTTTTTGTGTGAGTTTTAGCATTAATTATGTGGTTTTACCTTTAAATTGTGTGATATAAGCTTTAATTGTTTATACAAACATCATAAGTTCAAGCTATGTTGTTTTATTTTTTGGTCTACAGAGTTTGAATATTGCTATTTCCTCTTTAAATAAATAAAATAAAATAAGAACCTGATATGTATATATATATATATATATATAGCATCCCCTTATAATTTTTGTAACAAAGGTATATATATATATATATATAGCATCCCCTTATAATTTTTGTAACAAAGGAAATAAAGCTTCATTACCATTACAGATCTTAATCTCTACGAGAAAGGATCACAGGGTAGCGTTATCTGAAGAATTTTCTGGCACATGCGAACATTATCTTTACAGTAGATACGGTCACAATTATGGGACATATTTTAATACAATAGCTATCCACAAAACAATTGAATTTTGCTCTTTTATTGCTTTTAAATGAAATTTCTTGTCTCACCACCTTCGCCTTTATTGTCATTTCTCTTGGTTCAATCCCATCAACAAAACCTGTTAAGAGAAAAGAAAAACCAAAATCTCTTTCTTTTCTTTTATCCATACTAGTTATTATTATATCAAAAAAAAAAAAAATCGAACAAAATAAATTTAATAAGAAAATATATTTGAAAAAAAAAAAAAAAAAGGAAAAAACTTACATCATATGGTAACTATTAGGGCTATCAAGACTGCCAAGTTGAATGAGTTGAATGAAGCTCTGTCCATTTTCTTTGTTGAGAGAACTATAATTGCTGTTGAATTTAGCCTAATTTTAGGCATTTATAAATAGATATGTGATATTAGAGATAATGGGGGGACAAAAACTGAATGTTGGATAGTAGTATGATATTATTCTAGGTGCATGTATACTACATGTTAAAAGTTTACAAAAACAATTTGTCTAAACTTTGTCTATGGCTTCACTTATGAACAAATCAATGAAAAACACTTTTTTTTTTTTTTGAAATATGATAATTTCGACCATTCTGTGAAAAAAAAAAAAATAAAGTGAGAATAATTTTTAAAAAACCTCTACTTTCATTGATTTGGTATATTGATAGACTCGTAAATTGGGTTTAAGTAAGTTTTATCCACTTTAACAAATAATAATATAAATTTATAATATTTAGAAAAAGTTCAAATTGATATCCTATGAAAATGTTCAGTTTTCTTTTCTAATTTGTTTCCTTATTTTGTTAATCATGGATTTATTTCCTCCTTTAAAAGAAATGAGAAGTTAATCATGGATTTATTTCCTCCTTTAAAAGAAATGAGAAGTTTGATATACTTTTCTATATTTTATTTTATTATTATTTTTTTTGAAAACCAAAGAGAGATTTATTCAATTTGATAATGCGAATACAAGATAGATGGGACCATGTCCCAAACTACTAGATTAGCACATTGATAGGATACTCTTGCTAAACAATGAGCCCCAACGTTTGCATGTCTATTAATCCAACGATCTATGTCATTACGACAGCTAAGAAACAACTTACAATCCTCTACCAGCACACCAAATTCAAAAAATCCAAAGTATTAGAGTACAAAGCATAAAAAGAGGCTGACAATCACTATAAATATATCTTGAACCTGTCATATTACTAACAGCCCGTTAAATAGTAGTTCGCTAGGCCAGGCTTCAATCAATTGCACCTCATCATATACCGAGAAGCTGCTGGATATTGCCTTATGAAACACACCCTTCTGACACTAAAAAATAGCTCAAAACCTCAGACATTCTTTGGTCTTTGGGGGGGGGTGGGGGGTGGGGGGGAAAGGCTCCTTCCATAATGCAAAAACCAAGCATATTGAGGCATATAAACTCGAGAATCAATTGAGAAGACTGTCCAGCATGCGCGAACATGGGGGAAAGCTCCTTCCATAAATGCAAACCAAGCATATTGAGGCATATAAACTCGAGAATCACATGAGAAGACTGTCCAGCATGCGCAACATAGGCAACATGAAGACACTATATATAATATATTACATTTTTAATCAATAGAAAAGAGGTTGTTAGAGAGCCGAGTGACTGAAGTGGGGAAAGTACAAAACAAACTAACCGATCTTTCATAAAAAATAAATTGAATCAAACCAAAATAATTTAGTCCAGTTCTAAGATAAGCTGTGTGTGAGGATCAATTAAAGAAGCGTCATAAAAATGCTTAGTAGAATAACTGAGGTGATGAGCGACATAGGTGTTCCTTTTAAGCAACTACTTCTTTACTCATGTCTTTTGTGTGAGTCTTAGCATTAGTTATGTGGTTTTATTTATAATTTGCGTGATATAAGCTTTAACTGTTTATACAAACATTATAAACTTAGCTATGTTGTTTTATTTTTTGGTCTACAGTGTTTGAATATTGCTATTTCCTCTCTTAAATAAACAAAATAAAAAGAAACCTGATAATTATATAATGATATATATATAATTCTAGCATCCCTTACAATTTTTGTAACAAGAAATAAAGCTTCATTACTCCATTTGAGATCTTAATCCCTATAAGAAAGGCTCACAAGGTACTGATATCTGAAGAAATTTCTGACATAGACACGTACCATGTTTACAGTAAATATGGTCACAGGTATCGGGACATATTTCAATACAATTTTCATCCACAAAACAATTGAAGTCTTGTCTCTTATGATTTTTAAAAGAAATTTCCTGTCTCGCCATCTTCGACTTTACTATCATTTCTCTTGGTTCAATCCCATCAACAAAACCTATTAAGAGAAAGAAAAAACAGTCTCTTTCTGTTTAATTACCTATACTAGTTATTATTATATCAAATAAATAAATAAATAAATGAAACAGAATAAATCTAATAAGAAAAATGTATTTGAAAAACGTAACTTACAGCATATAGTAAATATTAGAGCTACCAAGACTGCCAAGTTGAATGAAGTTCTGTCCATTTTCTTTGTTGAGAGAACTATAATTGGTGTTGAGTTTAGCCTAAATTTACATCTATAAATAGATGTGATAATGGGTGGAGAAAAACTGTGATTGTTGGATAGACGTATGATATTATTCTAGATGCATACATACTGCATCTTAAAAATTTATAAATAAAAGATTTGTCCAAATTTTGCATATGGCTCCACTTATGGACGAAATCAATAAAAAATATATTTTTTTAGAAAAATATTTTTGACCATTCTGTGGGAAAACAATGGGTAAAATGAGAATAACTTTTTAAAAAATGTCTATTTTCATTATTTTGGTCCATTGGTGGATCCATAAATCAAGTGTAAAGTTTTATCCCCTTTAACAAAAAATAATGTAAATTTGTAACATTTAGAAATTTAAATTGATGTCCTATGAAAATGTTCCATTTTCTTTTCTAATATGTTTCCTTATTTTGTTAATCATGATTTTATTTCCTCCTTTAAAAGAAATGAGAAGTTTGATATACTTTCTGTATTTTAGTTATGAGTTAAGTAAATTTGTGATGAGTTTTTCACCAATTTCATTATATTTCAGTATTAAATTAAAATAATGAGATAAATCTTCTTCTTTTTCCTAATTTCTAATGGAAATAAAACTTTGTATGAGAAATTTCATTTGAACTCCAGTTTCTCCATCATTATCAAAAAGGGGAATTTACTAGTTGTTCTTAGCATTTCACGGTCACTCAACGACAAAAAGATAATGGGACCTTATAGTATAATGAGATAATAATGTAGGGACTAGAAAATATAATTTTAAACGCTGTATAATTAAGCAAACCCTCTAGATTAAATAGTAATTACCTATTATAAAAAAGATACATGCAAATTTGGTTCAAGTTTTTTCTTTTTGTATTTAAATTCATCGTCTGATCCTGTGGACTTTTGCCCTATCAAACAGCTCTTCATTGTGTTAAGGTCCAGAGGGCCCAAGGAAAGACAAATAGGCCCAAAGTCCATTTGGAGAATGAAAGTCACCGTCTAGATGAAAATTAAGACAATGTGCTGCATCTCACCCGTTCTAACTCGAGCAACTCAATCCAATCCAACTCAATTCCATTCAGTGGATTTGAAGATATAATTAGTTGGATTGGACGAGTCATCTTTATAACTGATCGGTTGAACATAGATCACTGATTCACTAGATAAATTCACAGATCCCATCCAATCCATAATAATATCAAATAAACATATGCATGTATGTGTAATTATCAATTATTTAGTTAATTTGTTTTGATTTGCAATTTTGAATATAAATACTAAATTATTTACACATTTAATAGATATCGGATTAAAAATTTTTTTTTTCCTTTAGTATAAACTTGTTTTGGATTGTTTCTATTGGAGTACATTGTAGTTTAAAATATATTATATAATTATATTACCAAGTATTTTTAATTTTACTGGTTGTCTTTTTTATTAGAAAATTTAATTTTGCATTGTTGATTATGATTATGAAACTCTAAAAGATAACACTTTTCATTTATATTCTTTTTAAAGCACTAATTCGCTATAATGTCGAAAACATTATATTAATAATCTATATATATATATATATATAGTCTTGAATTAAAAAATATCTTTGAAATGCTGAGTGACCATTCTATTCTCCCACCAATTCTTTTTTTCTTTTTTTACAGATTTTTGAGCTTTTTTCTTTTTTACTTTAATGTGATTGCCTACAAAAATGTTTTTAAAGAGTTATATTGATATATAGATTCTATTTGAAAATTAAATTTAACAAATTTAAGCAAATCTTTTGCTATATCTCTTTGATAAATTTAAGCAAATTTCTTTGTTTATATCTTTATATTTAAATGCTTTTAAATTGAATCTTTTTATCTCTCTTTAACTATTTATTCTTTATATACTTATTTAAAGGGAATTTGCAAAGCTGAGCATGGCCGGAATGAGCAAGTTTGTGAGTTTTTCTTTAGAGGTGCAAATTTGTGAGTTTTTCTTTAATTTTTTTATTCTCTCATGTTTGATTTACTCTGTCAATGAATAAATGATGCATGACTTTTTTTCTTTTTTTTTTTTGACAATTCATTCTGTTGTAATCTATTTAAAGCTTGGATATTGTTGTATATTATACTATTGAAATTAAATCAAGAGTAAAAGCAAGCTATATTTGATATCTGATTTTCAAGTAATTATGTAGGTATCAATAATTGCATTTGTTAATGGCTTTGACATGCGATGATGCAGGTTTAGATTCAAATTACATGCTATATTCATTTAGTTGCCTTTCATTATTACTAAACGAAGGAAAAGTTAATTATCTAGGATTTGATTTTTTTTTTTTGGAGATACGAAAAATGTCATCGAAGAGCTAGGTATAATAATCTTATTCAGTTTGGTTCAATTTATATTATATGGAAAGTGTATGTGATAGAGGCACAGTGGTATTTGTATTGAAAAAATTACTGTTTCTTCGTATTTATCATAATTCATGTCTTTTCATTATGATCTTTTATCCTTTCTTTCAAACTTTTCTATTTTTTTTCCTTAAATTTTTCATTAGTGAAATTATATTTGTTTAATTCATTTTTGTATTTTTCATTCGTGTAGTTATCAGTTTTATACATATTAAGAGATTGTGGGTAAATTAATTTTGATATTTCTTTTAATTGATTTATTTTTAGTGTCTATTTGTAATTTTAATCTTGAAATTCATTTTTTATTCATTTTCTTTCAATTTACTTACATTTTGATTTAATTCACATGGTAGAATTACCTAAATGACCGTGTTAAATATATTAGATTAACCTAAAATATTAATAGAATCATTTTAATTTTTCTTTCATTTTTCTATGTTTTATAGAATTAATATTTAATAATAATAAGTTAATGATATTTTAATATTAAATAATTAAATTATAAATAATATTTATGTATATGTTATTCATATTAAATGATTTGAACTATAAAATCTTTATCTATATAGAATTATCAATTACAAGATATGGTATTTAAATTGTTTAAATTATAAATTTTAACTGAAACTTAGACATGATTAATTAAATATATAATTATTTAAATAAATTTAATGGAGTAATCTGCCGGAAACATCTGTTAACAATATACTAAATAAGTTATAATAATAAAGCCGTGTAAACCGCGGACGTTCAACTAGTTATTATCTAAATTAGATTTGTGCTATTTGTTTTCAAGTTATCCAACTTGAATTAATGGATTATAAATGTTTAGAAGATTTTCATCTCTTTAATTTAAATTTTCTTTTGAGTTTGATTTTATTTCAAATACCTATTTTAAATATAATAATTAATATTTAATATTATACTTGTAATTCTATGCATTGGGTGTCGATATAAATATATAGTTTAAAAAAAATTTTGTTATTAAATTACATTACTATTTTTAATTTTTTTTTGAGTTTGATTTTATTTCAAATACCTTTTTAATCATAATAAATTAATATTTTTTAATATGTATACTTGTAATTCTATGCATGGGTGTCCGATATTAAATATATAGTTAAAAGAAAATTTTGTTATTAAATTACTTTACTATTTATTTTTGGTTTTTGAAAAAAAACAATAAAATTAATATGCTAATTTTATTACTCATTTAAATTAACGATATAAGTACTTTTTCTCTTCAATTAATATACTTCTATAATATACTTTATAAAATAAAAAAATAAAAAGACTACTATTTCAAAAAGAGAGTGATACAAGATCAAACTCGTTGAAAAAAAAAAGACTATTACTACTCGTTAAATTAAAAATATATTTAAAGGTAACTAAAAATTTTGCAATATCCTATTTGATATTTAACATGCAACTACTTTTCAATTGTTTCAAGATTTTTTCTTGACTAAAAAAGAATTCAAAATGATATACATAAATGTTAATAGGTAACTTAAAAATCAATGCACAAACAATAATATTGATAATGAAATATCATCTCTCAAGTTTATAGATAGATATACTTAACATTAAATTCAAAAATTTCAAAGTCATATATTTATTTTAAAAATGTTTAAAAAATTAAAATTTCAAAGGACTAATTATCTTTATATCTATTTTAAACAAATACATCTAATTAAGTAAAAAAAAATTAAATAAAATTTCATAAATTCAAAAAAAAAATTAGAATAAAATATTGAATAAAAAGAGAGCTCTTTAATTTTCTCATAATTTCATCTTTAAAATAGACAAACTGAAAATGAAAATGATAGCAAATATGCGCAAATAGCCATTTTTTCTTTAATTCAAACTTTATAGTGTATTTTTTTTAATAAGATTTCATTAGATTAAAAAGGAAAAATTTTTTAATATGATATTAGTCAAATACAATAATGTGTAAATAATCTAAATAATTAAGTATTAAAAAAGAAAAACATTTATACATGATATTAGTCATAATAACAATAAGATGTGTAAGAATAATCCTAAATAAGTGTACTAACCATCACACAGTCTCCAAAAAAATCAAAGAGAAAGAATATATTTTAAAAAATCTATTTTAATTCATTATATTTAAACTATAAGAGTCTAATAGTAAAGTGTTTACTATATTTTTTAAAAAATTTAAATATAATTGATAAAAAATTGCATATTGCATTTCCCAGTACCTAAATCTAAAGTTTTTCTTGAGTTTACTTCTAAAAAGTTATATCACATGAGAAGAGTTATAGTTAAAGAAATTAATTTTTGATAGTTGTATAGTGTAATAATATATTTTGTGGGTGTGAAAATTATATCGTAATAATTAAGTTTTTAAATATATTTAATTTTTAGTATTTCAATTAAGTTTTTAAATATATTTAATTTTTTAGTATTTCCTCTCAAATAATTGTATTTTATTTAAAATTATTATTATTATTATTATTATTTATTTATTTGACCCGCAGTTTACATTGAATCTGTATCCAACCCGTTTATAACCCACGGGTTCATATATTTAATACATTCGATTAGGTAAAAAAAAATCATTGATCTGCACGTATGGATAATATACTTTAAATTAATAAACTCGACCCAACCCGACCCATGTGCAGCCGTACGCACCATCCACCATACATATCAATGATAATCTTTCTGCTAGTAAGTCCGACATCTCCATGGAGTCCTCCAATGACAAAAAGCCCTAAAGGGTCAAGGTGGAAAATAGTCTTGTCGTCAAGATATTGAGGTGGGACAACAGGCTCAATTACATGCTCCTTCAAATCGGCTGCAATCTGCTCATTGGTAACAGTCTCAACGTGCTGGGTTGAAATAAGAATTATGTGAACCCTAACCGGTACCATGGCTCCATTATCATTTCTATCACCAGGCATCAACCATAAGTTTTGCTCTTTCTTACTTCAGTCAGCTTGGCACCAAGTTCAATGGCAAGAGTATGAGTTAGTGGCATAAGCTCAGGTTATCCATTGTACAAACTCTTCAATTGAAAGCTACATCAAAATATGAAACATAAATATTGACCTTAAATGATGGAGTTGAATAAAAAAAATACTAATTGTAATCCTAATACTAATTAGGATATGAAAATAGAATCGTGAGTTAGGCAAATATCAAAACAATTAGAGGTATTATAACAAATCTCAACATTAATCATCTTTCAATCAATGACGAAGTCAGAAATTAAAGTCAGGAAAGATTAAAAAAATTTCAAAAGTTAAAAAATTTATTATTTAAAGAGTAAAAAAAATTTTTAATATTTTATAAGTAAATTTTTTTAAAAAGAAAAATTTCAAAAGTTTTTAAATTATTATTATTAGAGAGTAAAAAAAAAATTTTAATATTTTATAAGTAAATTTTTTTAAAAAGTTCTTCGTCAGGGGTGCGGGCCACCTCTACCCCTAACTCCGTCGTTGCCTCCAATAATAATACATCATGCAATGAAATTTAATGAAATTTATATTTTGGAGCTAAAGTTTTTGCTAAATAACAATAGTTCATTCGATGAGAGTACCTTGCACTATGAGTCGGGAATTCTGGCCACGTATAACAATTGGGATGATTGATAAAAATGTAGAAAAATATTATTAAATTATTTATTTTTCAGAATTAAATCATATATCCCAAAACCCGATTGGAAAATCCATTAGAAACATGAGTTGAACCAAAGCAGGATCAGGTTTAAAGTTTTTGGGCCGGTTATTGATATGGAGTTTAGGAGAGAGAAAACAAAACACCTTCTCCCCTTCGTTGCTATGCAATCACAGCGCCACTCTCCTCCCTCCCTCTCTCTTACGGTTTCCGATCATTTCCTCGGCCAGAAGGAACAGCGAGAAAGACCCTAGCTTCTTTCCAAGCCTTCTCCTCCATTTGTTGTCAATGGTGTAGCTTCTTATCACCGGAGATGGCGTCCTCAAGGTGCTGTGACTATAACAGCCATTAATTCAGGCGACCTTAAGTTTCCAGGTAGGCCTTAAACCACTCAACTCTTCTCCTATATCACCTCCTTCTCTTCAATTTTGAGTTACAATGTGGATTCAGATTGTTGTTGGACTTAGGTCTAAACTGGGGATTTTCTATGTTAGGTGTAATTAGTATTCAGAGGAAAATTTGACGTTAGAATCAAATTCCTTATAAAATTTCGAGCATCTTGATGTACAAGTTTCCGGATTCTGAGTCGGCTCCATTTCCAGTCACCGCCTGTGAATTTCGACCAGCAGAGCACGAAAACGTGAAGTAGAAAGAAATGGAGAGCTCAACGAAAGGATTAGAGGGTACTGGCATGAACCTGCTAGTGAATCGCCGTAGCAACCTGAAGAGTGCTTCTAGCGATCAAAATCTCCTCGAAATTCTTTCTAACATGAAAGCTTCCAAGACTACGGTAACCATACACTCTCACCTTCAATCGCTTTTTCTTTAGGAGCTTATTTTGTCCTTCAGTTTTCACTTATTTCTTTATTTCATGCTTGCAGGCTGTTATCAACTATGACGCTTCATGGTACGTTTCCTTCTCATGCTTTGATGCAAGGCTTGGTATGTGCACACAAGGTGTTGGATGTATAGCCTGTTAAAAAGTTTTTACATGAAATCTCAGCCTTGACTCTTACTTCGCCTAAATGCCTAATATATCCAATGTTTGGTTTGCTCCATCCAGAATTAGACGTAGAATGCAATTCTTGATTTGTAACAAGATCCTATATTTTGTGTATTTTTCTGCTGTATGGTTTGTAGCCAGATCCTTCCTGCAGTTTGCCAGCTGAGCAACAATTTACCTAAGCTTTCTTTCATACGTGCAGATATTGATGAATGTCCAGAAATAACTCCGCAAATTCGTTATACACCCACATTTCATTTTTATAAAAGGGTTGATGAAATGGTTGGTGCTGGAGAAGAGAGGCTGCATGATCGCTTGTGGTTGCATGCTTGAAATCTATCTTGTCTTAGGACCCATCAATATATTATAAAAGGCGAGTTTGAATGAAATGGTTGTGCCTGGAGAAGAGAGGCTGCATGAATCGCTTGTGGTTGCATGCTCTGAAATCTATCTTGTCTTAGACCCCATCAATATATACGTATATATATATATATATATAACATTTTTTCAAAAAGGAAACTTGTGAACGTATCCACTTGGCATTTTAATTGACATGTGACATATTTTTTCCAATTAGGCTAGCCACTTGGTATGAGTTTGATTTTGATCTTAATATTAAATGTATTCGACTTGATTTGGTTTTGGTTTGATTTATTTGATTAGTATTTTTTTATTTTGAATTAGTATTTTTGATTTGATTTGATTATTCAATGTATTAATGTATTGGTTTAGTTTGGATTTATTTTGAATTAGTGTTTTTGATTTTGGTTTGATTTGAGTATTTAACATATTAATGTATTGGTTTGGTTTGGATTTATTTTGAACTAGTGTTTTTGGTTTGGTTTGATTTGATTATTTAATGTATTAATGGCGTTAAGTAATTATTATCAATTATTAGTTTTTAAAAAATGATAAGTTTAATAACAATGAATTATTCAATTAATTATTAATGTATTGCTTTATAACAATTGTTTACTCTCAAATTTGTGAAGTAACAAACATTTCCTCTAACAACCTTTAATGTATCATTTACGTTTCTTATCTAAATGTTTTCCATTTATTTTTTTTTAAAAATGGTGTAGTAATACACTTTTTTTAAATTTTATATTATTTACCCTCAAGAAACACTTTAGCTTTTTTAGAAATGCTATATATAAGTTGTATCAATATATTCTTCTGTATTTTTTGTAAATGTGTATTAGTCTCTACTTTTAAATATATTATTTATTTTTTTAGTCCAGAATTTTCTACATTTCAACTATTTCCATTAATGGTTTAGTATTAATGGGTTAGTAGTTCTTACTCAATTTTTTTTTCTTTTTTAAAAATAATTTAACATTTTTTTGTAGCCGTAAACTCACCGACTCTCTCTCTCTCTCTCTCTCTCTCTCTCTCTGCTCTGCTCTCTCTCTCTTCTCTCTCTCATCATTCTTCTCTACCTTGTCTGCACTTGCTAACTTCGTACGATTTCTCGTCTTTCTCTACATCTGTCTCTCTCTCTTCCTCTCTCTCTGCTCTTCCTAGCTCACTCTATGTCTCTCTCTCTCTCTCTCCTGCTCATCTCTCTCTTCTCTCTCTCTCTCTCTCTCTATATATAGTATAGTATATAGTAATTATATGTAGTATAAGCAAACAAGAATATCTTCCCTTGTATATGCAATGTAGGATCCAATGACAATGTGTAATGAAACTTAATTGTTTATTTTATATTTTTGATGTTGAAAATAAAAATTAATTTATATGATTGCATTAACCCGTTTCTTAGAATAAAAAATGGGGAAAAATAATTATGTAATTAGATTCATATATACGTTAGAGGAAATTGAATAGTTTATTAAGTAATCAATTTATATATACTTGTTAAATGATACAAATAAATATACATAATTTATAAAAATTTCTATTAGATATGGCAGATTATTATTTTATATTTAACAAATAAATTTGTTTGTTTATTAGAGAATTAATATGTACAATATAATTGATATTAATATAATATTAATAATAAATTGATAAAGATTGAAGATTTATAGCAAACTCTTAATCATTTATAAAATAAATTATTTTATCATGATTTTAATGAAATATTCATGGATTTTAATGAAATAATGAGTTAATTATTTTTTACATTAATTTTAAAATAAATCAAATTAATGAATTTTACCACCTTTCATTTTGTTTTTTTTTTTATTTATCTTTATAAATTTCAACATTTTTAATCCATATTCCTGAACACATGTCTATTTACTAATTTTTACTTTAATAATCAAAATTTTAATAATTAAAAATCTCACTGTATTTTTTTTAAACTATTGATATATCTTTATAATAATTGAAGGAGATAGAAAAGTGTTTTTGTATTTTTCTCCAGTAAAGAGATATAACATATATATATACATAGTTAGTCCCTAAAACTCAGGGATTGCATAGATACAAACTCATTCAAACTTAATAAACTCTAGCCAAGAATATCTCAATCTGTTATTATCTCCAATACCCCCGCTCAAGCTATGAACTTCGTGTATGAACTTCGTGTAAGAATTCGGAGCTTGTTCTTGTGCTGAGCAAACCTGTGAGAACTCAAAGGTTTGGTAAAAATATCTGCAATTTGATCCATCGTGGATATATGTTGTACACTAATGTGGCCAGCTTTAACCTGCTCTCGTACAAAATGGAAGTCGACTTCGATATGTTTTGTTCTTGCTTTGACACACCAAATGATTGTAGGATTCTGAACTGGTTGCTTTAATTCTTTCAGCAATGATCTAATCCATATTATCTCTGCAGTGGTGTTAGCCACAGCATGGTATTCGGCCTCCGTCGATGATCGAGCAACAGTTGGTTGCTTCTTGGCCTACCATGAGATCAGATTGGAACCCAAATAAATTGCAAAACCACCTGTCGAACGACGATCTAAAGCATTCCCCGCCCAATCAACATCGCAAAATGCTTGTAATTGAGAACTTGACGCAGACCCAATAAAGAGACCATGTGCTAGCGTGCGTTTAACATAGCGTAGAACACGTTTGCAGGCTGTCCAATGAGCTGTTGTTGGAGTGGACACTGGACATAATCTTTCACCGCAATGGCTAAATCTGGACGGGGTTAAACAAAGCATACTTGTAAAGCACAACAGTTCTACGATACAAAAAATTGATCAGCCAATCGGTTCACCTTCATTATTTGGTCATATTGACACTTATAGTAGCGATTAGGTGTGGTAACTTCTTAGCTTGATCCATGATGAATGCGCAGCAAGTAAATCACTCAAATACCTGGTTTGTTGAGAAAGTTAAAATTACCTTTGGAGTGATAAGAGAACCTTCAACACCAAGAAAGATAACTCAACTTCCAAGATTCACGAAGCTTGAATTCTAGTTTGAAAGTGCTGAAACAGCTTTTGAATTGGGCTTACTGAAACTACTTCAGTATAACAATATCATCAACATAAAGCAAGATTTAAATAACAGCACCAGCCCGTTTCTTTAATGAAAAGAGAGAACGTATGAGAGCCTGCAAAACCATTTTAATAAAATATGAATTTTAGCCCGCCTAAACCATGCACGAGGGCCTGCTTTAAGCCATAAACTACGTAATACCTTTACGCAATTCACCAACGAGGACACTTAACGTCAGTGACCACAATACCGGGCATCTAGAATCTGCAAAAACCCTGGTGGTTGTGCATGAGAACAGTATCTCCTCTGAAAATACCCATTAAAGAAAAGCACCCATTAAGAAAGGCATTAGAAATATCCAATTGCCGAATGGTCCACTTCTTTGTAACTGCCAATGATAATACAATTCGGATCATAGTTGGTTTGATAACAGGACTGAACGTCGCTGCGTAATCAACACCTTCAACTTGATTATACCCCTTTGCCACCAAAGTAATTGATTTTCCAAAGAAGGAACATGCAAAATTTTATTCATTTTAATTTGTGCAATAGAAGTGGGAATGGTCCGTGTACCAACATAAGTAATATGTAAACCAGAACCATTACCTATAGTAACTTTATCAGGTCCTTTATACTCATCTGAAAGTTCAAGAGCGGATAAATCTGGCGTCATGTGATGAGAAGCTGCAGACTCAGCAAACCAAGTGTTTGAATCTAAAGAGTCTGAAACATGAGCTGTATTAGCGGAAATCTGTTGTTCATCTTTATCATAACGCTTTCGACACCATTTGGCTTGATGATTATTAAGGCCACAAATTTGGCAAGGATTAGGGTACCACTTTTTCGAACCCTTGGAAGCAGAAGTGAAATTGCGGGAATTGTTCCCTCGCCGTTGATTATAAGATTTTGATCCAGAATTGCTTTGCCGTGCGACATTGGCATGAATCGGCGATGTGCGATTGGATCCCTGCAGAAGAATCTCATGAGCCAATAGCTGACCAGAAAGTTCAGAGAAGGATACCTTCGTTTTGCTTGCAGAGAGAGTCGCAATAACCGGATGATATTCCGGAGTTAACAATCGAAAAATAGTGGCGTTGAACTCATCGGTAGAAATAGGCGTTCCAGCAACAACTAACTCATCAGCAATTGCTTTAGCTTCACGCAGAAATTGGGAGATAGGTTTGTCTCCTAAGGTCAGATTCTGTAGAGAAATGTGAAGCTGTACTTGTTTGGCACTGTTGGTTGTTCCAAACACATCAGACAGAGATTCCCAAGCCGCACAAGCAGTGTCAATTCCAGTAACATAGGGCATAACTTCCTCAGTCAAGGAAGAACAGATCCAGCTAAGAAGGAGTTGGTCCTCTTGCTCCCATTTGAAATAATCTGGATTAGGATCCGACTGCTGCGTTGTTGAATTGGTAACAAAAGAATAATTTCTGGGTATTAGGATCCGGACTTGCTTTGCGTTGTTGAATGTAACAAAGGAGCAGGAGGTGGTGTTCCAATCAATATCCGTTTTTAGATGTGTTAGCATTTTGATGATAGGTAAAAAACTGGCGTTTTTCCAAAGCTAATAATATTGTTCTTTCAACTTTAAGAGGAAAAGAGAGTTGGCGTGAGGTGGCGCAGAAAAAGAGATTTGGAGCTTGAAAGAGAAATAGCTTAGATAGTGGAGATTGAGAGAGGAAGAGATAGAAAGAATCAGTGTTTGTTGGGTAGTGGCCATCGTGAGATGTAGATGGCTCTGATACCAAATGAAGGAAGATAGAAAAGTGTTTTGTATTTTTTTCTCCAGTAAAAGAGATACAAATAATATATATACATAGTTAGTCCCTAAAACTCAGGGATTACATAGATACAAAAACTCATTCAAACTTAATAACTTCTAGCCCAAGAATATCGTCAATCTGTTATTAATCTCCAATAATAATATTTAAATATCATAATAAAATAACTTTTA